GGCGGGCCATGCGGAGGGGCGGAAGGTACGAGTTCGGGCTTCGAGGAGGCTGTAATGTGGCACTGGGACAACAAGGGGAGGAACTGGAGGACAGGACATAGGCCGAAGAGGTGTCAGTCTGGAGTGATGGGAAGCAGGACGCTAGGGACTCCGGCTGGCATGTGACAGCTTCTCTCCCTCCAGAAAAGGCAGGGCCCCCGGAGAACGTGATGGTGAAGGAGGTGTGGGGCACCAACGCTCTGGTGGAGTGGCAGCCGCCCAAAGACGACGGGAACAGTGAGATCACAGGATATTTCATCCAGAAAGCCGACAAGAAGACCATGGTGAGGGACGGGGCTGCAGGCTGGGGGTGGTGGGTGTGCTGGTGAGCCTGCTTCACAGCATGTAGCTCGGTGAGAGGGCACTGAGTTCAGTCCTTGCCACCACACACAAAGGGTACCCTGTCCCCATCAGCAGTCTCCCTTCCACCCCAGCGCAGTCCCCAGCAAGCACTGCTTTGCTTTCTGTCTGTGGATTTGCCGATTCTGGCATTTCATATAAACAGAACCAGAGAGCATGTGACATGTGTGTCCCAGCTCCCCCTTTTCAGGGCCGAGTAATATTCTTTTGCACTGGTAGACTACATTTTGCTCATCCACCCACCCCTTGGTGAATATTTGGGTGGCCCCTACCTGTTGGAAATTGCTGTGAATGACAGGCTTTCTCCATCCCACACTCAAAGTCTTTGTCCACACGTGTGTGTTTCCCTTCGTGGGCCCATCCCCATGCTAGGAATGGTTCAATGTCTATGAACACAACCGGCACACCAGCTGTACTGTATCTGATCTCATCGTGGGGAACGAGTACTACTTCCGAGTGTTCAGCGAGAACATCTGCGGTCTCAGCGACTCGCCTGGGGTTTCCAAGAACACAGCCCGCATCCTTAAACAAGGTGTTGCCCCTCCCCGGTCTGTCACGTCCCAGGCTCTGCCCAGGTCCAACCTGGACTCTGACCCTTGCCTCTGCCCTGGGGTCGAATTGCTGGCACCTGGGGATGAGGCCGAGGCAGCGGAGGGGTCTCTTGGCTGGCTGGGGTGGGGGACAGCCTGCGGTCAGTCACCTAATGGGTGTACCCTCCCCCCAGGACTCTCCCTCAAACCGCTTGATTACAAGGAGCATGACTTCCGGATGGCTCCCAAGTTCCTTACGCCCCTCATTGACCGTGTGGTTGTGGCTGGATACTCCGCAGCTCTCAACTGTGCCGTCAGAGGCGAGCCCAAGGTGCTGTGGCCGTGGGCCGTCAGGGTGGCATGTGTGGGACCCAGGGACAAACTGGCACGACTGCCTGAGCCCTGCACACTGGCTCTTCCTCCCAGCATCCCCCAGTTTCAGGGCATTTGCTCACTTTAACCCACTTCCTGTTTCTCTCCTTGGCCTGAGCCAAGGGCTCAGACAATGACACTCTGTCTTCCTGCCAGGCAACAGCTCCTCTCAGCAGCCTGAGCTCAGAGGAGAGGTCATTCAGTCTCTCTTGTCTGGTCCAAGGACAAACGGCAGTGCCTTGGAAACAGAAATGGTAGGGGAGAAGGGATGTCCAGACTGTGTGGGTCCCCAGCCCTCCCACCCCTGCCTCGGTTTCCAGGCCACCACTTGGAAGTATGAACACCTACAACCTCAAACTCAGGGACCCTGCAGACCAGGAGTTGGCAAACTATAGCTCTGGGCCGAATCTGCCTGGCACAATGTTCTGACAATAAAGTTTTATTGGCACACAGGCCACATCAATTTGTTTACACTTTATCATGGTCCCTGCACTATAACAGCAGAGCTGACTCATTGCAACAGAGACGTTGGGGCCTGAAAACCTTGAAACGTGTATGCTTCGGCCCTTCGTAGAGAACGTGTGGTGGCTTCGGGACTGGACTGCAGGTTTATGCGTCCGGCTTCTCCACCTCCAGTGTCACCACTCCGACTCCACTGCTCATCCTTCCGGCTCACTTACACACCCACCAGTCCACTCCCTGACTCAGTTCTTTCATTTGCTCCCCTATGCTTATTTACATCACTCATTCACGCGCTCCATTTATTCTTCTAGCGTCCTTGGAGATTTTCTGTGTGCTAGGCAAGTAAGACCGGAAGGTCCGTGTGTTAGGGAGAGGCTGACCTTGATCAGAAGTCACACAATTAACAAAGTTGTAAGGAAGGCAAATTTGCCAGGAAGTGCAGTCTTTCCGGTCTCAGGGTGGGAACAGGAAGTGATGTGTGAGCTAACAAGTGAGGGACAGGTGGGCATGGGGAAAGAGCAGGGCAGGTATCCCTGGGAGAAGGAAGTGCCAGGTCCTGAGGCTGGAGCCCTTTGTGCCCTTGGCCAGGGCACCCTCTGAGCCACCCTTCACCCTTGTCCCTGCAGCCGAAGGTGGTGTGGATGAAGAACAAGATGGAGATCCGTGAAGACCCCAAGTTCCTGATGACCAACTACCAGGGGGTCCTCACGCTCAACATCCGCCGGCCCTCGCCCTTTGACGCAGGCACCTACTCCTGCCGGGCCGTCAATGAGCTGGGGGAGGCGCTGGCCGAGTGCAGGCTGGACGTGCGAGGTGAGGCCTGGCCCAGGCCGGGGAGGATGGGGTCCTGGGTGCGAGCTGTCACGGAGGCAGCGTGGGCCCTGGGCACAGGAGGTGAAGGGCTCGTGGGAGGGAGAAGCGCTTGGCAGATGCCCCTGGGAGGCTCCATGTGTTGCCTGAGGTGCAGGAAATGTGGATAAAGAGGAGCCAGGGCCCTGGGTGCCCAGAGTGCACCCCCTTGCATAGCCGGCCCTGACCCATCCCTCCAGCCCTGCCCTTGCCCTCCTCCCCACTTTTTTTTTTGAGACAGGGTCTTGCTATGTATTCCAGCTGGTCTTGCGCTCACTGTGCAGCAGGGCTGGTCTCAAATACATATGATTCTCCTGCCTCAGCCTCCTGAGTGCTGGGACTTCAGGCATGTGCTGCGACGCCCGGTCTGTCACTTCTCTGGCCCTTAGCTCGGGCCCCTGCGTCCCTTTCCTCCAGATCCGTTTTGGGCCTCCTCCTTGGCCATCTCCAGCCTGTCCCTCCTGTCTGTCCTCTCACAGCCCTAGATGGGGTATCTGGTCCCCAGCAGACCTGGCCCCTGCTCACATCTCTCCTGGACTCCTCAGCAGCCCCAGGTCGCTCCCCCCAAACTGGAGCTCATGGCAGCAGCATCCACATGGGTTCCCCATCCCTGCTCGACTGTGGCCTCTGGTCTTCTTGGTCGTCCCTAGCCCTGGTGACAGCCCAGCAGTCAGAAGTGGCTGCAGACCTCCAAGTCCAAGTGGCCATCATCCCAGGTCCCCATGCTTCCTGGTGGCCCCAGTGTCTCATCGTCTGCTCTCCCCAAATCACCTCCTGAATCTGCTCTACCACGGGTCCAGTGACACTGCAGGCAGCCAGCAGCTGGTCACAGCAGTTTCAGGCAGAAAATGACAGTGGTCAAACCAGGTGACTTAGTGTGGCTCTGTCTCAAAAAATAAGCCACGTGTGGTAGTGCAGTCGTAACCCCAGCACTCAGGAAGCTGAGGTAGGAGGATTGCTATGAGTTTGAGGCCAGCTTGAATGACAGTGAGACGCATGCTATGTCAAAAAACCAAATTGGGGGACCGGAGGTGGTGCCAATGCCTATGGCACAAGTACAAGGTCCTGAGTTTGATCTCTGGTACCAAAGGAAAAAGAAAACAAACAAAACAAACTGGGGGGAGGTGACAGCGAGTAGGCGCTGGAGGGACAGGTGCCATCTTGTGCCCCCTGCTGGTCACTGGGACCCAGCAGGCGGAGGGGCCCAGCTCACCCGTCATTCTCTCCTGCAGTGCCACAGTGAAACCTCGCCCCACCTGCCGAGAGGACCGAGCCCCGGCTCCATCCCCAGAGTGCTCCAGACTTTGCCTTTCTTTTTTGATTTTTTTCGCTCTCAACAAAACAGTGCTGCTTGGACTGTGGTGCGCATGGTGTCCTTGCCTCTGTGGCTCCCCTTCCCCTGTGGCCGGGGCTGGTCACCCTGAGGTGGGTGAGGGGCAGCCAGGCTGGGCAGCCACCACCACAAGGCGGCTGCAACAAAACAGGCCACGCTAGGCCACCATCTTGGAACAGCGACTTTAGTGAGGCAACCATGTTGTCATGACAACCACAAAACATCAGGAATCCCAGGTCCTGCTGCCGAAGTGGGGAGAGGGGACAGGCAGGTGGTGACCAGAATCTACAGTAAATCAAAGATGCACCACAGGCCGGACTGGGAAGGCTGCGCTGTGGGGACACTGAGAAGGTTGGGTGCCAGGTCGCCAGGGGGCGTGGGGCCTAGACTTGGCTGACCAGAGACCCCCAGGCAGCCTCGGTGGATGAGGTGCTGCTGGCAGAAGTGCCTGCGAGCTGGCCACTGCTCTTCAGTGGAGATGTTTATTAGTTCTAATGACCCGTCTGCACGGCCCTGGGGTCGGTGCTAGAGCGCCGGCCCTGTAGAATCAGAGTCCCCAGAGTTCAGAGGTCTGCGGTCGAGCCTGGCTTCCTGGACTCCAAGCTGAGGGGAGAGAGTGGCTCCGAGCCCCATGGGAAAGGTGGGTAGGGGCGAGGGGGCCTCCAGCTGCCCAAAGGCAGGACCCAGGTCTTGGGGGAAGCAGCCCCATTTCCCTGGGGTCGGTGCTAGAGCGCCGGCCCTGTAGAATCAGAGTCCCCAGAGTTCAGAGGTCTGCGGTCGAGCCTGGCTTCCTGGACTCCAAGCTGAGGGGAGAGAGTGGCTCCGAGCCCCATGGGAAAGGTGGGTAGGGGCGAGGGGGCCTCCAGCTGCCCAAAGGCAGGACCCAGGTCTTGGGGGAAGCAGCCCCATTTTCCAGAACGGCCACCCCCAGCTACACACACACACACACACACACACACACAGGCCCCCAGGATGCAGGACCCCACTTGGTAAACCCGGAGGAAGGCAGGGCTGTGGTGGTTCCCAGGGAGGGCCCGGCCTCCTCCCCCAGACGGTGGGGTGTGTCCCCCCCTGCCCTGCTCACCTGGTCCCGCCAGTCCCTCTCCCGCTCCTCCAGGTCCCCGTCTGTCTCCTCGTCCCCCTCCTCGTCCCCCCACTCCTCCTGTGTGAAGGGCACAGCCCCCTGGCCCGCGTGGAAGCGCAGGCGGTAGAGCAGCCGCACCCACTGGCCGAACTCGAGGTCCCGGGTCTTGGCAGGGGCCCGCAGCTGAAGGTAGAAGGCGCGGCCGGTGCACAACTTGACCTTGAGCTGCTGGCGGCTTGCGTCGTGGACGAAGAGCTCGACGAACTGGAGGGGGAACAGCCTGGCCGGCGGGAGGGGCAGCCTAGCTCGACGAACTGGAGGGGGAACAGCCTGGCCGGCGGGAGGGGCAGCCTCAGGTCGGGGGTCCCCACCTCGCCTCCCTGTCCTCTGCCTTTTCCGCTTTCATCACCTCTTGAAGTCCATCTTCACCTTCCAGCCAAGGGTCAGCCCGGCCCCCACGTCTAACTGCACTGCCACCCCGGGCGCGGCCCCCTTCATTTCCCCACGGGGCCACCAGGGGCCGCCGGCGAACACTTAGCTCGGCTCGCTCTGCTGGGCCCTCACTCAAAGGCAAAGCAACATCTTTCAGGTGGTGCCTTCGCAGGTCTCCCCTATGTATGTATTGAAGCGCTGAGCTATTTTCCTGGCCCATTTTTAGACCTGATTTTTTTTAATGGTACTGGGGAATTGAATTTTTTAGGGGGTATTGGGGAATCAAACTCAGGCCCTTGTGCTTGCGAGGCAGGTGGTAGAACCACTGAGCCAAATCCCCAGACCATCCCGGTGCGTTTTCAACTTTGAGTCTGTCTCACTAAGTTGCACACTTGGGCTGCGGCCCTTCCCTGTCTTCGGCTCCTCAGGGATCTCCTGCCGACTGACAGTGACCTTCTGCCTTCCCCGGCTGGGGTTTGGGGAGGCTTTGTCAGGGCTGCGGATGCCTGTCACATGTTTGAATAAATGGAGCGCTCAGGCCCCAGCCGAGTCCAAGAAGACAGGAGCAGTCAAGAGAAGGTGGGCGACCTGCCCCAGGACACACAGTGACACTGGAACCGAGTCCTGTGTCCTTGTCCATGGCGGGGGCAGCCACGTGACTGCCCTGTGACCCAGCAACACAGCCTCTGGGAATGGCGTGGCGGACCTCACACTGGAGCCCGGCCTGATGCACACGGAGGCCCTGCCACGCTGGCTGTGACCCCAAGTCCCTTTACAACGCCTCAGTGTCCCCAGGGGGCAATGTGATTTTGTCCCCTGAAGGGAAGAGTAGCAGCCACCACTGACAGAGTGTTTGCTCTAACCCAGCTGCCCCAGACACTTAAAAACCCTCAGTTTACTCCCCGCACAGCTTGTGAAGACAGGCGTGCCTCTTGTCCGCATTCTGCGGAGGGGGAAACTGAGGCACAGAGCGGGAGCCTAGCTAAAGGCTGGAGGACATCCCCACTGAGGCGACAAAGGCCTGTTGAGGGTGAATGTGCCGTAGCCTGGTGACCGCTGGTATTGACAAAACACAGGGGAAAAGGAGGTGTGAAGTGTGTCCCCACAGCTGTCCAAAAGCAGGGGAGATGCCTGTGTTCTCCGTCCTTGCACTGAGTACCGGACAGGGCAGGCTACGCATGCGTCCTGAGGCCGGGTTCGCAGGGCCAGCGCCAGGGTTTTACTTCGGTGGTCTACCCACTTGGGACGGGGCTTGGGGGGCTGAAGAAGGGTAGGAGAGGTCAAGGTCACCCTCAGCACGTTGTCAGTGTCCTCCCACCGGCAGTGATGGCTCAGTGAGGGGTGACGGCCTGTAGGGGGACACATTAGCACTTCAGTTTTTAAAACCTCAACATATTTCAGTGCGTCTTACTGGTGTTGGAAAATTGCCTGGTGAGATTTCTCATCAAGGCAAAGGGAGGAATAAAGGCTGTGAACCTCGGGTTCAGCCCGCTATTTCTCTCACTTCCCTTCCTTCCCTTCCTTCTTTCTCCTCTCTCCCTCGCTGTCATTAACTGTGAGATTCAGTCAGAAAAGTGCAGGCTCCCGGCTGAGTACACGTGTGTGCCCGCCGCAAGCGGTAAAGGTTCCTGGGCTGGCAGCTGGCCTCGGGGGCGGAGCCCAGGGCTGGAAGTGTGTCCGGGCCACAGCTTGGGCTACAGTTTCCTTTCCCATGTATTTGTTATCTCTTTTCCAGTGGGAAAATATGATTCTGGGAAATTTTCGCTCACAGGGAGCCTGTGGCTCTAAACTCTGCCCACCAGATCCGCTGGGGGACCTGGGTAACTGGCTCCCTTCTCTGAGCCTCACTCTTTCTCTGGAGGACGGGGCAAAAGAGCCCACGATACAAAACCATGAGATGAGAGATGAAATTATGGGCGTGCTCCATAGGGTGCGTGGCAGCACCAGGCACTGACAGCAGTCACTGTCCCGACGCCTGCAGGTTGGCACTGAGGACAGCTCTCCCCGCTTGCCACCCAGTCCCTGATTCTGGCCCCGTGGACTTCCTGTTCTCATACTCCTGAGTGGACAGGAGCCCAGAGAGGGATGGCAGAGGCTGGTGCTCCTGGCCCTGGGTGGCCAGGTGTGAGGGCTGCTGCCGGGTGCATGGTGGCAGAGCGGAGGGAGGAGGACTTGCAGGAGGGGCAGTCACCCGAGAAGCTGCAGACATCTGTCCTCCTTAGGGCCAGCCAGCAGCAACAGATCTGGGAGTTCCAGGGCTGGACTGGAGGCTGCCACCCCCATGGTGACCTTATTGGCGACTTCTCCAAACCGGGTCACCTGGGGTCAGAGGTCAGAGGCAGGACAGACAGGGGGCAGAATTGACAAGGATCAGAAGTCAGGAATCTTGTAGGGTAAAACAAGTCATGGACAAGGGGAGTTAAGAATCAGGTTGGGGATCAAATATCACTAGGAGACAGAAGTCAGCACCTCCAGGAGATGGGT